GATAGTCTCTGCTTAGCTTATTTTTTTTTAAATGGTATTTGAAGGAAAGTTGTTGCTGTTGTGTACCATCGAGTCAGAGCCAACCCCTAGCTGACCCTCCAACAAGTTTTCAGAGGCAGTCAATCGCATGGGAGGAGATTGCCCAGTTAGTTCATTTATTCCACAATAATTATGTAATACTATTCATGTGCCAGAGACTGGGAGGTGCTAAGGAACACAGTCGTTAACTAGACAAGATAAAATTCCAGCACCCTGAATGCAGAGTCTAGTGGAAGACATAAGGCAATAACAATATAATAATATGAAAGTGCTATTCTGAGGAAGTATAAATGCGGAAAAAGCTCATTGATGGGTCATCAACTTTGACTTGAAGTATTCCATATGCTAGTAGGTTTTAAAAAAAAGACCATTTTAAAGGTAATAACTGGGTTTCTTTAATTATTATAATTCAAAATAGGCAATAAAATTATCGGCATGAAGCAAACTATATGACTATTATGTCTTTAATGTTTACTCTGCTCATATTGTGTTGATACTGTTTACATTTTCATCCCTATCAGACATAAAGAAGGCATACGGAATGCTGTTTTTACTCATGTTCAGTATTAATGAGATATTTTTGTGGTTATCCTAGAAATGAAAGACGAGGGAGGTGATTCTTAATTTGCTCAGAACTTTTTAAGGATTTCTTTGCTAGAGTGGGCCATAAGAAATAATTTTATAAAACATAATGCATGAGAATTGGAAGCAGGAGTGGCATGCACTTCCTAAACAATGTGCCTCCAGACCCTTTATGAACTTTGATAAATGTCGATGGTGTAGAGGGGCTTCAAGGTCTTTTGTTCATAGAGTCACTATGAGTCGTGCTGGACTTGAAGGCAGTCAACAACAACAATGCATGAGAATGATTGTATGAAAAACAGTGTAAATGAAGGATACTGTGAAACACAATGTGTATGAACTTTGTAAGCAAACCAATAGAGAGAGAGAGAGAGAAAGAAATCAGAGCTGACAGACCTTGAGTCAAAACTTCATCTCTTTAGACTACATTTCTACATTTGAGGGATCTTGAATTTGAAGAGAAAGTCTAGCAAGACCAGAGAAATAGGAAGATTCCAGAGATTACATAGGGAAGAATCCATAATTCATTTAGAAGGTCAGATATATAGATAGAGAGATATAGAGATATAATTTGGTATTTCCTATTGAGTTCACATTTCAAAATGCATTTTCAAAAAAAATACATAAATTTTGCATCTCCTTTTACTTGCTGAGTTCACATTTCAAAATCTATTTTCAGGAAATTTTTGAAATGTCCACACAGGTTTAGGGAGCTCTGGTGGCCTAGTGGTAAGGAATTGCACTGTCAACCCAAAGGCACACAGTTCAAACCCATCAGCTTGTCCCCAAGACATAGATGGGCAGTCTCCTCCAATGTTATTTTCAGCGTCTCAAAATTCACTGGAAGGCCAGCTATGAGTTGATCCAAATCAATAATCAAACAACAACGAACACAAATTTTACATCTCATCCTACTTGGCTACACCAGAAAGTTGGAAACAACTTAGATACCTAACAAAAGTAGCCTGCTAAATAAATTGTCATATTTATGCAATAAAATTCCAGGAATGCTTTTAAAATTATGTAGCATTGTTTCTCACACTTAATTATGCATCAGAGTAGCCTATAATTACAGCTAGAAGACAGATGTCTGGGTCTTGTCCCCAGATTTTCTTATTCACTATGTCCAAGAGTACGGGAATACAAAAGTGAAAAACATACATACGTTCTGATTGAATTGTAGAACTGTCCCTGTGTGATCTTTGGAACCTTCCCATTCCTCCGGTCTTGCCTGACCTCCTCTCTAAGCCTGGGATCCCTCAAACACAGCCTGAGGATCTGGATTCTTGGCTCAAGTTCTTCCATTTCTTACGCCCCATTGTAACAAAGAGATCCTTAATAAATTCAAAAAACAAATTCGAATCACTTCTGTCTTCTTTATTTTTCTCCAGTACTCACAAAAGGCCCAAGAATTAGCATTTCTAACAGTTTGAATCAGTATCAAAAGTTCCCAGTTTGATACCAATGCTATTGGTCTGGGGCAACCTTCTAAGAACACTGACATGGTGAGCAGTGAAGGGAAAGGCAATATACAATAAAGGTTGGGCTAGGTGTTGTTGTTAATTAATTACTCTAAACAATTTTAATTGTTATAAAACAAAATGCCTATGAAGGATTGAATGAAATCTCATTTGATTAGTAAACTTTCACTCAAATAGAATAACTGACATAGAGGCATATTTCCCAGAGTTGGGAAAATATTCATAAGGTCTTGATCAATTGAAACTAAGCTGTTTATCTTCTGCATGTGCACGTGAGTTTCCAGAGAAAGATGTTATCAAGTTGATATCTCTAGTTGTCTTTGGATCTCCTGTATTTGGAGTAATCACTCACCCTTCCCCATTATAATAAGTGCATGATGTATCATTAAAAAGAATTTAAAACTTTTCATTAAAAAAACAAGATCATGACATTCTGGTCAGTAGAGCTGATAAATTGGAAATACCCAAATCAGGCTGGTCATCATCACGTGTTTGTTGCTGGGAGTGTATTTTCAGGAGCAACTGCAGCAGAAGAGCTGTGAGGGGCCTGTAAATACATGTTGTCTCTTGACCAGAACGACAGTGGAAGTGGCTGGAATTTCATGGAGAGTTTCTGCACCTATTCCTATTTCATTTTAGGAGTAGCCATGCCAGCTGCTTCTGGGTAGTATGAGGGGAAACTGGGAGGAACCCAGAGGGCAACCTGCCAGAAGTTGGAAGCATCTGGCTTGGCGTACTCTTTGTTTCCTGATGCAGGGTAGATCCATTTCCCAGGGTTTCAGATTAAAGCGTCTCCTTTCTGGAGAAAAGATTTCATGGTTTAAATTCCCGTTCCCTTTTGTGTCTGTAGCACTCTGCTGTCTCCTTTCCAGCACACAGCCTCGGGGGTCACGCTGTCCCTTCCCTGCTGATATCAGCGTGCCAACTGTGGTGTCAGGCACAACAAGCACAGGGTCGCCATTCAGCTTCCACAGACTGGGTTCAGGAAGCAGAAGAGCTTCTAAGTTCCTACAAACCTTGACTGATCTTCCTCTGGCCTTGCATGATCTAAACATCTCTCGGGGTGGGGTGGGGAGAGAGAAGGAGCCAGGCTAAATGTCAGGACAGGAACAGAGAGAGCAAACAGTTGTTACCAATGTTCAGGAAGGGGAAGGGCGGACAGGCAACGCTGAGAATTGCACCGTGGACTCTGCAGTGGAATTCCTACTGGGTTAGCATTGGTTAGTTAGCCTTTCACGCATCCTTACACGACTGTGGTTGATGAAATAAGAGATAACCACACCATCTATTTTATTTAGAACAAAGGTTCTTCGTGAATATCTAACATAAATACTAGTGCTTGGGATGCCGTATCCACATTCATAGATATCTTAGTTTACCACATTAATTGCCATTGATTAATGTAACTAATGAATTACAATGTCTGCTTAGTTTCTTGATACATATTGCCTTTCCCTTGTTGTTGTCATTATGTGCCATTGAATTGGAATCAATTCGTAGCTGAATCTCCAGCAGTTTTTCTTAGGCTGTAAATCACACAGGAGGAAACTGACCATTTGCATCCCGTGAAACAGCTGGTGGATTCGAACTGCATGCTTTGGAGTTGGCATCTCCTTGCCACTAGTGCACCAGAGATTGCTCTTCTCTTGTAAAGACTCTTTTAAAAAAAGAAGATGTGGTGAGATAGGAACTCTTTTGCATTGCTCATGGCATTGTACAATGGTACAACCCCTCTGGAAGGCGGTTTGGTGCTTCCTCAAAAAGCTGAACATACAAATTCCATATGACCCAGCTATTTCACTGCTTGGACTATACCCCAAGAAAATGAGAACTGAGGCTCAAACAGAAACTTGTACATCAGTGTTCATAGCAGCATTATTCACCATCTCAAGAACATGGAAACAGTCCAGATATCCAACCACAAATGAATGGATTGAGAATTTGTGGTACATTCATGCAATGGAATACTACACAGAACATAGGAGCAATCACTTTGTAAATTACCTAACTCAGGAGGGACTGGAGAGCATTATGCTAAGTGAACTAACTCAGTCCTGCAAGGACAAATACTGTATAAAACCTTTATTGCAGAATGAGTATGAGGATTCTGGGGGGGGAGGGGTGGAAATACAGGGATGAGGATGGATGGGGGGAGGGTGTTAATCATAGCACAATTCAATGGGTGGGTGGGGTGAAGGAAATGGGAAGGATCTTTTGTGAAAACCATTGTATGTACACTTTGTAAATAAATTAGAGTAATATAAAAAAATTTTTAAAACAGAAATAAAGTCCTAACATATACTATCAAAAACAACAACAACGACAGTACACACACACACACAAAAAAAATTTAAAACAACAACAACAACAAAAACGTAAATCAGATCATCTTACTTCTCTGCCAAAAACTTTGCAAATGCTTCTCACTGCATTTAGCATGAAGAGTCACTCTGCATGGTTAGGACACTCTAGACACAGTCTGTGGTATACTGATGCTCTGTTCTCTCCTCTCTACTTTTCCCTCCTTGCTCACTGGATTCCAGTCACACTGGTCCTGTGTTCCTTGAATAAACCATGCTTGATTCTGTTTTAAGGCTGTATACTGTCTGTTCCTTCTGCCCCAGACTGCCCTTCCCCAAGATCTTTGCATGCTAGCTCTATCCAGTATTCAGGTCCACTTGTGTTTATAATTCTCTATCCAAACAGGGAGCTATTCTTCTCCTTGCTCCTGCTCCCTCTTGTAGGGCTACTCTTGGCTAGGTGTGATCAAGGCCTAAAATGTTCGTTTGTTATCACTTCCACAATACAAGAGGTATACTCTCAACCAGGACTACCTCGGGCAAACAACTGAGGGTTTACCTACAGACGTGTATGAACATAGTATTTTTCTTTTCACAGGTTATTTTCAGAGCTTTGTCGCCGCCATATGATACGAATGTGGATAATCTTTACAGTGCCAAAGTTCAGGAGCAGTTGAAGATCACCAACCTCCGTGTGCAGCTACTCAAACAACAGCCATGTCCCTGCCAGAGAAACGACCTAAACACGAAGCCTCAGCACTCTACACACTATGCCATCTATGATTTCATCGTCAAAGGAAGCTGCTTCTGTAATGGCCACGCTGATCACTGCATCCCTGTGGATGGCTTCAGACCTGTCAAGGGGCCAGGATTGCTCCCTGTGGTATGTAAAGAAAATCAAATCATAAGTTACCTTCAACTTGGTTCTTTCAGAGTTCACTAATGCCTCATAGTGTTTCTTGTTTTCTCCCTCTGCTGGCTGTGTGTCCCTCCTGTAAAGTGACTACTAACTTCTTATTTAATCTTCCATTTTAAACATGATAACCAGACTCCTTCTTCAGTTAAAACACCCATGCCAGTTTTCAGTCCTCTGACCTTCAGCTATTAAGTTTAAGGTGAGCGGCAGTGAGAGGTTGGCCTAATCATGTTAGCAGTGTTGTTGCCCAGAAACCATTTATGACATGAATGGAGACCATTATTGAGTAAATCTTAAAGTGGCGATTAAAAAAAAAAGAACCAAAACCCTCCATTTAATATCTGGCATTTTTTTTGCTGTTCAGTCAATAGAATGAATAATAATCCTTTTAAAGAGGAGTTTGACCGCTTTCACATCTCTTCATGTACTTTCTGGTGAATTTTTACTTAGCTGTGTTCCCCGAAAGACCATGAAATCTCTAAGGACAAGGACGATGTGATCTTTGTAACTTCAAGTGCTAGTATGTTACCTGAACCAGAAGTAGGTGCTCAGTAGAAGTGGAATTAAATAATAGTGATGTGGGAATAGGGAGATGATGAAAGATTGGTGTTATTATTCATTTGTCTTCTCCTCATCAATAGTACAGTGGCAGGAAGGACCTTGACTGGATGCACCCAGAGATTAGGCAAAGGGGAGGAAAGGAGAAGAACATTCCAATTGTTTAAGGTTACATTTTTTCCCCCTGATACTTCTGAGCTAATAGTTGTTGTTGTTGTTGTTGTTAACTGCCGTTGAGTCACAGGCAGTTCATAGTGATCCTATGAAGGAGAGTCCTCGACGCTTGGGTGCCTTTCATCCTCTCTCCAGGTTCATAGGGTTTCCGGAGGCAAGCTATTACGGAAGTGGATGTTGCTCCTCCTTCCAAGCTAGTTTTAATCGGGGAGCTCCACCCCACTCTCTGTCCCCACTGGGTAACCAGCCATTAACGCATTTGACACATCAGTGTCACAGTGTTCAGCCTCACAGCAACCATAAGTGACCGCAGTACGGCAACTTGTACACCAGGGCTATATGACCTAGAGGAATGTCTGAACAAAAACAATGAAAGACAGGCCCGAAGGGCGCGGATTAAAAGTCACCCACGTTTGGCTTGATAGCATCGCCTTCTGTCCACTGGGCCAGCTGATCTCTAATAGTAATTAATAAATAAAAGTGTCAAAGCCTCAGAGTATTCTTACTATGGTATCTGTTGACTAGACCTCCACATCCATTCTTACCAGCCCTGACGTAGGTTAGAGTCAATGAGACCATAACCAATTAGGCAGCAGAACTGTTTGTATTGGTTGAGTTGCTGGGGTTTGGGGAAGCACTGGGGTAACCCAGGACAGTGTTCAGAGAATAACCAAGATAGGAAGCAATACTATTACTGCAGAAGTAAAGCTAGCTTAGAAATGCTCAAGCTGAAAATGCTGCATTCATGCAACACACACCCACTAGCTTCCAGACACTGAAGGATCTTGGCACTAATACTGGTACAATAAAGTAGGAAATAATTTAGGATGCCTAAATTAATTGGTTTTCAGGTGTGATTCAAATACAAAACAACCCAGATATTATTCTTGGTGAGATTTTAACCTACCAGATTGTCAACTCAGAAGTTAGTGTGAGGTAGAAGGCTAATATGGAACTCTGGTCGTGTAGCCCATAGTGTATTTTTCTGATGACTATGCATCTCCAAGCAATTGGAACCCACCAGCAGCTTCACAGGAGAAAGACGAACAGTCTCTTTCCACCAAGATTTACCACCTTGGACACTCAATGGAGTATTGATGTAAGCTGGAATCTACTTGATCGCTGAATTTATATTTAAGTAAATTATATTTACTTAGTTATATTTAAGTAAATTTTGTATTATTTAAATAAATCAGTGAATCAAGGGAATATAGACCTCTGTTTCCTCAACTGCCTTTTGTAATCCAAGTTTTATGGTACCACTTAAGGTTAGAACCCTGAACAGAAGACATACACAAGACTAGATGCTTTCATAACACGACACAGAGTGAGCCCTCAAAAAACACTCCTGGGGTGAATGATCTATGGTTTTGCTCAACTATACCAATTTACCAGAGTTCTCAAGAGCCCCCCTTTTTTTTCAAGAGCCTTATAAATCTTTCATGAGTATGGATTCAAAAACAATCGTTTCTGTGAGCTTTGTTGGTAGTAGTGGTGGTGTTTTAGTAAGATCTCTGAATTTAAGAGTTAGCTACGTTGCCTACGGCTAAGAGGACAAGTCTAGAAGCTTTTACGAGTCTTTCTGAATTCATCAAGGAATAAAGAACCAAAATTCACCAGAAACTTTTACAGGAGCCACAGCTACAGCTGTATCGTATTCTGCCAGTAAGAAAATTATCAACCAGGAAGAGAATAGAGAGATACAAATGAAGGGTTTATATAGTAAGTGTTTTTCCATTTCAAAGAAATGTTAGAAGATTATTTTCTTCTTGGGGGAAGGGAGGAAATTATGCAACAATGAAAAAATCTGTTTAAAAGCGAATTAGGGAGTAGGGATGGGTAGGAAGGAAAATGTGCAATAACGAATTAATGGAAATATAAGTTTTCTGTAAACTTTTGTAAAACTACCAATTTTTTAAAACTAAAAATTAAAAAAAGAAAGAGCAGATCAGGCATAGAAGCAGCAAGCAGAGATGGGGAAACATAGATGTCATGCCACACGATGACGACCAAGGAGCCAAGAAATAGAAGTTGGGAGGGAAAAGGAGACCTTCTCCCAGAACTCACAGGAACAAAAAGCCTTCCCCTAAACTGTTTTCAGACTGCTAGTCTCCTAAATTGTGAGAAAATAAATGTCTGTTCTTTGAAGCTAAAAAAAAAAACAAAACACCAAAAAATAAAGCCGTCAAACAAGGCCAGGTGCTTGTGAAACAGACCATCAGTTACTCATGTGCAAGTTCAAATTAAAGCTGAAGAAAATTAATACAAGTCCACATGAACCAAAATATGATCTTGAGTCTATTTCACCTGAATTTAAAAATCATCTTAATAGGTTTGAAGCATTGAACACCACTGATCAAAGGTCACATGAGCCGTGGGATGATAGCAAGTCTATCATTCATGAAAGGAGCAAAAGTTCACAACAAAGACAGAGAAAGAAAAAAAAATACCAAAATAGATGTCAGAGGAGACCCTGAAAATTGCAACTAGAACATCAAGAAGCCAAAACTAAGAAAAGTGATGTTGAAGTAAAAGAATTTTGAAAAAGGGCAGCTCGAGAAAACAAAGCATTATAATGGAATGTGCAGAGACCTAGAATAAAAGTTGAAAGAAATGCTTAAAAAAAAAATATTTTTTTCCCTAATCTCACTCTGGTGGCCTACTGGCAAGAAGCTGCTCTGTAATCCTGATGACATGCAGTTCAAGGCCACCATCTACTCACCGGGAGAAGGATGGGCAATCTCCTCCCATGTGATTAATTGCCTGTGAAAACCATCCAGAGGGTCAGCTATGAGTCGGTGCTGACTCTACAGTATACAACAATAACAACAACAATCTCAGGCTACCTTGATTGTAGGAGCAATTTCCTTTTAAGTAATGCTGGGTTTATGACATCTGGCTACAAGTCTTCATATTAGATTCAGCTTCACAACAGGGATGGCAGAGCCTAGCACTGTAACTCCAGAGTGTGCTTAACTTAACCAGGGCCAATGTTTTTTTGGCTTCTAGGAATCCATTTCCATGAGACTCCTAACTGTCTCATCTCTTAAAAGAAAAAGAAAGTCATACAAAGTTTATGGTTGAAACTATGAATAATTCTTGTTTCTCACACCCCTTTGCATTTTATCTTTATATAAAATTTTTTTGTGCATTACTACTGGTTGATACTGAATTTGGAAATAGTTGCCTCTTTTGACTGTCACATATTTATTCTTATAATTGCCACAGTGAGCAGGTTTGCTCTCTAAAAGCATAGTTTTTGAGGCCTCATTAAAAACATCACCATATTATCAGTTGTCCTCCCTCATTGTTTATCGGTGGGCACCATTCATCATACAGATGTGGTTATAGGTAACTCTTCCTCATTTGCTGTTGAATCAGAACCAACTCATATGTGACCTTCCAAAAGGTTTTCACAGGCTGTAAATTCACAGGAAGAGACTGGCCCTCTTTCTCCTGCAGAGCAACTGCAGAGTGGATGGATGGATCGATTTAAGACTCCAGCCTTGTTAGCACTGCAACATCCTGCCCACTGAGCCACCAAAGCGCCTCTATATACTAGATTCCTGAGTTAGGCATGTAGAACAGAAGGCATTGAAGTCACACAGAGCAGGATTTGGCTTGATAGAATTAAGTTACTTGGTCCTAATTACCTTAGTTTCCTTACGTTCTAGGTTTATAAATTTTGCCTGTAGAATAGAAGTTAGCCTCTTCAGAAATGCAATTTTTTCACAGGTCAGCTTATCAAAGATGTATGTGTGCAAATGAAGTCTTTGGCACAGTTTTTCTTTATAAAAGAAGTTCTCACAAATGTGGTCTCATAACTCTAATAGCACAAGCATAGCGGGGAATTTGTTAGGCATAGAAATTCTCAGGCCACAACCTAGGCCTAGTCACTCAGAAACTCTGGCCCAGGATTCTATGTTTAAAAGCCCTGAAAGTAATTCTGATGCACACTAAAGTTTGAGGACACTGAAGAGCAATTCTGATGTTATAGTCCCTAGTGGAATGCACTGCTAATCCAAAGGCTGTGTGTCTCCAGTGGTTCAAATCCACAAGCTGCACTTTGAGAGAAAGAGGATAGTCTCCTGTTATAGTTAACGGCTCTGGGGATCCAGTGTAAGATCACTATGAGTCAGAACCAACTAGATTATAGGGCGTTTGAGTTTTCAAAGTGTGAGAACCATTGCTTTATAAGCTATGTCAGTTCACCTGTGGCGAGCAGTGTTACTGAG